TTAAAAGCCAATATTGGCCAGGCATGATGGCTTACATCTGTAATCGTAGCACTTTGGGAAGCTGAGATGAGAGGATTGCTTGAGCCCAGGAGTTTGAGACTAGCCTGGGAACCATAGTGAGACCCCATCTCTCTCTTTTTTTTTAAATTATTATACTTTAAGTTCTGGGGTACATGTGCACAACGTGCAGGTTTGTTACATATGTGTACATGTGCCATATTGGTGTGCTGCACCCATTAATTTGTCATTTACATTAGGTATATGTCCTAATGCTGTCCCTCCCACAGCCCCGCACCACACCACAGGCCTCAGTGTGTGATATTCCCTTCCTGTGTCCTAGTGTTCTCATTGCTCAGTTCCCACCTATGAGTAAGAACATGCGGTGTTTGGTTTTCTGTCCTTGCGATAGTTTGCTCAGAATGATGTTTTTCAGCTTCATCCACGTCCCTACAAAGGACAAGAACTCATCCTTTTTTATGGCTGCATATGATTCCATGGAGTATATGTGCCACATTTTCCTAGTCTATCAATGATGGACATTTGGGTTGGTTCAAAATCTTTGCTATTGTGAATAGTGCCGCAAAACATACGTGTGCACATGTCTTTATAGCAGCGTGATTTGTAATCCTTTGGGTATATACCCAGAAATGGGATGGCTGGGTCAAATGATATTTCTAGTTCTAGATCCTTGAGGAATCACCACACTGTCTTCCACAATGGCTGAACTAGTTTACACTCCCACCAATGGTGTAAAAGTGTTCCTATTTCTCCACATCCTCTCCAGCACCTGTTGTTTCCTGACTTTTTAATGATCACTATTCTAACTGGTGTGAAATGGTATCTCATTGTGGTTTTGATTTGCATTTATCTGATGGCCAGTGATGATGAGCATTTTTTCATGTGTCTGTTTGCTGCATAATTGTCTTCTTTTGAGAAGTGTCTGTTCATATCCTTTGCCCACTTTTTGAAGGGGTGGTTTGATTTTTTTCTCGTAAATTTGTTTAAGTTCTTTGTAGATTCTCGATATTAGCCCTTTTTCAGATGAGTAGATTGCACAAATTTTCTCCCATTCTCTAGGTTGCCTTTTCACTCTGATGGTAGTTTCTTTTGCTGTGCAGAAGCTCTTTAGTTTAGTTAGATCCTATTTGTCTCTACAAAAATATTTTTAAAGCAGTCAGGTGTGGTGGCATGGGCCTGAATTCCAGCTACTCGGAAGGCTGCGGTGGGAGGCTTGCTTGAGCACAGGATGTTAAGGCTACAGTGAGCTATAATCGCACCACAGCACTCCAGCATGTGCAACAGAGAGAGACCTGTCTCAAATAAATAAATAAATAAATAAATAAATAAATAGGGGAAAAATGCACTGATATTGTAATTGCCTCTGTCCCCAGGTGGGGGCTCCTCAAGGGCCCTCCCCAGGAAGTATTTCTCTGGATGACCTACCTGGGGCAGAGGAGCCAGAATATGGAGGAGATGGCTGTGGTAGGGAGGGACTTAGTCCTGTGTCTTCCCCACCCAGTGCAGTCCCTAGAAGAATGTTTGCTGCACGGCCAACACCAGCCAGGAGCTGCACAAGGACACTTCCCACCTGTACAACTTTAACTGGGACCACTGTGGTAAGATGGAGCCTGCCTGCAAGTGTCACTTTATCCAGGACACCTGTCTCTATGAGTGCTCACCCAACCTGGGGCCCTGGATCTGGCAGCTATGAGTGCCATTCCCATAAACATAAACTTCATAGCTGGGTGCAGTGGCTTATGCCTGTAATCCCAGCACTTTGGGAGGCCGAGACAGGTGGATTACCTGAGATCAGGAGTTTGAGACCAGCCTAGCCAACATGACAAAACCCTGTCTCTACTAGAATACAAAAATTAGCCGGGTGTGGTGGTGGGTGCCTGTAATCCTAGCTACTTGGGAGGCTGAGGCAGGAGAATTGCTTGAACCTGGGAGGTGGAGGTTGTAGTGAACTGAGATCGTGCCACTGCACTCCAGCCTGGGCAGCAGAGCGAGACTCTGTCTCAGAAATAAAACAAACAAACAAACAAACAAAAACAAAACATTAACCTCAGCAGAGGGCAGAGCCTGCCAGCCACTTGCAGGGAGGGCTTGGTCCAGGAATTCGGGTCTGAGGGTGGTGGATGCTCTGCCCCCTCCCACAGCTCTGGTCCCTTTTGAGGATAAAGCTGCTGAGATATGTGGCTGACAGGAGCGTTCCGTCTCCTCCCCACTCAGGTCAACCAGAGCTGGCGCAAAGAGCGCATCCTGAATGTGCCCCTGTGCAAAGAGGACTGTGAGCGATGGTGGGAGGACTGTCGCACCTCCTACACCTGCAAAAGCAACTGGCACAAAGGCTGGAATTGGACCTCAGGTGAGGGCCGGGAGGAGACGAGATGAGGAGTGGGAGTGGGGCTTTAGGGTTGGGAGGGGTGCAGTCTGGCCCAGAAGCTCAGGGTCTTATGTTCTCCTCCCTCAGGGATTAATGAGTGTCCGGCTCGGGCCCTCTGCCGCACCTTTGAGTCCTACTTCCCCACTCCAGCTGCCCTTTGTGAAGGCCTCTGGAGCCACTCCTTCAAGGTCAGTAACTACAGTGGAGGGAGCGGCCGCTGCATCCAGATGTGGTTTGACTCAGCCCAGGGCAACGCCAATGAGGAGGTGGCCAAGTTCTATGCTGCGACCATGAATGCTGGGGCCCCGTCCCATGGGATTATTGGTTCCTGATCCAAGAAGGGTCCTCTGGGGCTCTTCCGACAACCTATTCTACTAGACAAATCCACATGTGTCTTGTGTCTTGTAATCTGGGGACGAGTGGGTTGGAGGGACACATTGCTTCATCTTTCCTACTGATAGGCCCTGAATCAGGCTGGAACTGGCTTGATGTTCACTGGGAAGCAGGGTGTGGCGGTTGAACCAGAATCTAGGTATCCATCCCTTAGTCTGGTTCTCCTGAGACCCTTCCCCTCACACCA